CTGCTAACAGTAATGAGTGAAAGCAGGTAGATCTTTCTGCTGCAAGTGGTTAAGATGCGGAATGCTTGCAATGGCATGGATTTACCTCCATTTGTAAACCAGACAAATTAATGGCAGAGACATTCATGCTGGATATCCCCATCCTTCGAGATGGTCAAGATTTGACTGGATGAGTCCTGAGCAACCTGATCTAATCAGACCTGCATTGAGCAGGGTTTGGTCTAGGTGACCTAAAGATGCCCTCAGCCATGCCTTGTTGCTGCAGGATGCAGGGAAACCATTCTGGGGAATATTTCTCCAGAACCGACCCTCTTATCCATCCTCAATTCCTTTGTTTTTGGCTGGTGTTGGAGACAGGGTATGGGGTCAAAGAATTCCTGGTGGACTCAGTTTGACTTTTCTCTCTTTAGTATTCTGGAACAGTTACAAATGTTGATGGTTGTCAAAAAGTCTGTTCCATTAAGTCCATGAGCAGAATTATTTATTTAAACTAAATCTCTTTTGTATGTTTAAGCATGTATATTTAAACATACACGTTGCATCTTGGTTCCTTTGAGATTTAGTATGTTTTTATCTCTTTATTCCCATCTTTGGGGCAATATGTGGAGATCCTTGTCTTTCTTTCAGAGCTTTCTATGGCATCCAAACCCTGTTTACAGTGGAAATAATAGAAATGATTATTCCCATTTTCTGACATTTTTCTTCTTTTTGTCTTCACTTACTATTTTCTTCTTTGGAGAGGTGGACAAAGATGGTAGCATCTGTCTTTAGCTGTGTCTGAGGTGTGAAAAATTTGCACCTGACAGTTAGGCTTAGCTCTAAATGTGCTAACATTATGGCCTAAGCAGTCTATTCCTGGAATGAATGAATGAAGTCTAGCTTCCAGGGCCTTTGAAAAAGGGTTATTAGCACCAATTAATGAAAGTAGAAACCTCAGTACGGGCTACGTTAGAGTCAAGTGACAATGCCCTGCTCTGAAGACCACAATATCTGCCCCTGTTGACTTCTGCTTCTTAGTCAGCCTGGAAAATAGCATTTCAGCCACAAGGTAACTTCACTTTTAGACTGCAAATGAGCGCCAAACTGGCATGTGATCTGGTCATCAAAGAAAATAGGAATTAAGATTAATGTTCAAGACTCAGTTGGACAAGTTCCAGAGCAACCTGATCCATTAGAGCTTTTTTGGGTAAAGAATTGGGCTAGGTGACCTCAGGATGTCACAGAATCATATGATTCTAGGATCAGTTTGCTCAGGAACTTGCCCAACTGAGTCTTGAGCACCTTTAAAGATTGAGATTCCCTGTCCTCTCTGAAAGTGTTGCACCATTTGACCACTCATAGTAAAAATAAGCAAGTCCTTAAATCTAATCATAGCTTCCCATGCTTTAACTATTGTCTGTTACCTCCTGTCCTCTTGCTGTGAGAAGACTCTGGTGGTGTTCTGTGCATCCTTTTATAAGGCAGCTCTTAACAATTGCAGGGTTTGCTCCGTCCATTTACTCTCTAAAGCTGGAAAGAACAGATTCCCCAGCTTGCACTCATAGGATAAGTGCTCCAAACTTTCAATCATCTTGGGTCTCCGTTGACTTCTTTCTATGATGTCCATGGAATTCTTGCACAGGGGAGTCCCACACTGGTCATGGTCCTCAACCTCTGATCTCACAGAGATCAGATAGATGGGAAGGGTCGTGTCCTTGGACTTGCTGCAGCATTCTTGCTATTCCAGTCTAAGACATAGATCCTATAGAACAGGATTAGAATTCACACCCAGTGGATTTGATGTCCTAGAATTGTACTGATAGAATGGACTATGTTGGAAGGGACCATAAGGATCATCCTGTTGCAACCTCCTGCCATGGGCAGGTTGTTCCCCCCATCTCAGGCTGCTCAGGGCCCCATACAACTTGGCCTTGGGCACCTCCATGGATGGAGCATCCGTGTCTTCTCTGGGCCACGTGTTTTTTTTTAATTAAGCGTTACGTCTATGAGATCTAAAAGAACAGTTTTCTTGGGCTGTGGCATCTACACAAAGTAACATTCAGGAAACCTTGAGGAGGCATTAGTTCTGCTTTAGATTCTCTGAAAAGTAAAGAAAACAGGTTTTTTTCTCTCACTATAAACAAGCAACGCTCCCTTGCCCTTTTTGCCTAGTCTACATGGATTTTGAGGTAGGACTACAAGATCAAGAGTCTTGCTTTGACCTGGGGAATCTACATTGTGAACATGACCAAAGCCATGGGTAGAACTGGGATGTCTCTGGTGGTTGCATACAACTCATGAAGCTGGAGGCATTCATTTTGTGACGCGCGACGATGTGGCTGCCGTAAGAGCCTGAACACAGAGAGGAGTTTGAAAGGACAAATTCACAGTCACATAACGTGAATCATAGCTTGGACCTTCCTGGAAAAATAGTCGACTTTTTGTTTAGCCATAAAAAAAAAAAAAAAAAAATCCAACAACCTCTTTTGTTCCGGAAACCTCTGGGCATATTAAGCGAAACCAGATACTGGAGGGTGGGGGTGTTGGGGGGAGAGGCATACAGGAAAGCAGTCAAAATCTACTAGAGGAATTTCTCCTTTCTGGAAGAACATAAACCAGTAACAGAACGTAAACAACCCGCCATATGTAACTTGTAAATCAGAAGGAAAAGGACTGAGTTCCCAGCAGGCCATTGTGAACAGTTGGCTGTTGAGTCTTTTTTTATTTTTGTTCTTCTCGTTTAATTTTAAATTTGTCATTCTTTTCTCTCCTCTTCCTGCTTCCCCAAGATGAACCACAAGCTGAACTCCTAACGCGTGGCCTCCTAAGTGGTGCCTGAAATAGTCACAGTATATTAATTTTGCAGCAGCTGAAGAGCAGGGTTTAATAAGGTCTGACAATGGTCCCTCCTGAAATCATGCTGAGAGCATTAGTTGGTTGGGACAAGGCTGAGCTCTCTTCCCAAGTTAATCAGTCACCTGTGCTAGTCAGCGCATGAGCTGGCTGTTTATTTCTTGTTTGCTTGGATTGCAAGGAGTGGCACTGTTGGAAAGGAGAAAGATTATCTCATTTTAAAGGCTCTTGGGATTATATGTTTTGCAGCTTGAGAATGGCTGCAAACTTTAACAAATACAAAGCCTCTCTATTTAGATTTTGGAAGTCTTCCTTTCTTCTCAATCCCTTTTCTAACTGAGGATGAAAGAAAAAAAAGAGGCACAGTGTTTAGAAGTCTGGTGGAGCCATCCATAGAGGACCATGTTTGGTGACTTTCATCATAGTGTCCACCTGCTCCTTCCCAGTAAGGGCTGCCCTGGGCAGCGGTCTGGAAGTGAGCTCAGAGTGAGCCCTGGGAGGCAGGATGAGTTCAGCTGTGAAAGATAGATATGTCCAAATTACATGTTTCGTGTAAAAAACAAAGAAGAATGAATCACAGAATGAGTCACAGAATGGCTTGGGTAGAAAGAGACCTCAAAGATCATCGGGTTCCAACCCCCCTACGGGCAGGATTGCCAAACACTGAATCAGGCACCAGATCAGGTTGCCCAGAGCCCCATCCATGATCTTGAGCACCTCCAGGGATGGGACATTTACAACCTCTCTTGGCAAAAGTGCCAGGCCCTCACTGCCCCCTGAGTAAGAAATTTCCCATCATCTAACTTAAATCTCCCCTTTTTTAGTTTGGGACCATTCTTCCTCATCCTATCACTATCTAGCCCTGTCAAAAGTTAATTTCCCTCCTTCTTATGAGCTCCCTTTAAGAAAGGAATCACAGAATGGCCAGGGTTGGAAAGGACCTCAAGGATCATGAAGCTCCAACCCCCCTGCCACAGCACCATCCAACCTGGCCTTGAACACCTCCAGGGATGGACAGGGCATCCACAACCTCTCTGGGCAGCTGTTCCAGCACCCCACCACTCTCACAGGAAAGAACTTAGGAAAAGAAAAGGAAAGCCACTGTCGGGTGTCCCCTGAGCCTTCTGCAGGCTGAACAATCCAGCTCCCTCAGCCTGTTCCCATGCAGAGCAGCACCAGCCCTCCAGTCATCCTCATGGCCTCCTCTGAACCAACTCCAACAGCTCCATGTCTTTCCTGAGTTGGAGGCCCCAGATCTGGACACAGGTGAGGCATCACGAGGGCAGAACAGAGGGGGACAATCCCCTCCCTGCCCTGTGCCACCCCTGTTTTTGCAGCCCAGGGTACTGTTGGCCTTCTGGACTACAAGAGCACACTGCTGGATCATATCCATCTTCTTATCCATCAGGACCCCCAAATCGTCCTCCTCAGAGCTGCTTTCAAGGAGTTCTCCCAGGCTGTACACATGGGGTTGTACACATGGGGTTGCCCCAAACCAAGTGCAGCATCTTGGACTTGGCCTTGTTGAACCTCGTGAGGTTCACATGGCCCCACTTCTTGAGCCTGCCTAGGTCTCTCTGGATGGTGTCCCTTCCTTCTGTTGTAACAACTGCACCACTCAGCTTGGTGCCACCAGCAAACTGCTGAGGGTGCACTCAATCCCATCATCTGTGTCATTGATAAAGATGTTGATGAGCACTGGTCCCAAGACAGAACTCGGGGATATCACTCATCAAGGAAAGAATGAAAGAGAGAGAAAGAGAGGAGTTTTTTTTTCTATCAACTTTCATTTCTCTCTACTTCTCTCCCATGCTAAAATGAACACAGCCCTCTTGCCTATGGCTGTTGAGAAAGTGAGGGAACAAACAGACAAAGCCAAACCTCTGGAATATTTACAAACTCCATATCCATTTCAAAGACACTTCTCCATCACTGAGCTTTAGCCAGGGAACACTGCTCATTTGTATGAGTTCATCTCTCCCCTTAAAATAGGAGCATTTGTAGTAATTTGTTAAAATAACAATTAGCACTGATCCTTTCCTGGTCTCAGTGGCGGTGCTGTCAGCGCAATAGGGGCAGCGCTGGGAGCCCCCCACCCACCTCTGTGTGTTTAGGATCATTCCCTGCCCACGGCAAACCTGAAACTCAGAACAGATCCACGAAGCTTATCTGAGGCCTGACAAATTGAATATGTTGTGTTCCTGACAAGATTTCACATGAGATTAGAGGTGGGGTGGGAAGCAGGATGGTGAGTGGCTCGTTGGATTCCTCTCGTCAAAAGCCAGAAAGGTCATTTCCCTTTTGGGCTGCTGAAGGTAGCACGCTGTGACAGGCTGCAGGTGAAATCCAAGATGTGCTTATGCTGCTCTTTTGCTCCAAACAGGCTCTTTGGATGACAGGGATGACAGAATTTGGGCATCTCACTTGCACACCAGGAAGATGGAGCCACTGGCAACTGCTTCAGAGTCTGAGAAAACAGCATTGCTTTTGCCCCCTGCTGTGGGAATGAGCAGGCTTGAAAGGCAGAGGGGTTTTTTTGGAGCTGGGCTTGAGATGAGCTAAAGGATTGCAGCTCAGATGGGACTGGTGTGTGTCCTGTGGTGGAGATGTGCAGCTGCTCTTCCTCCCACCCTTCACTTTGTGTCCTGTGGAGGGTCTCTCAGGAGAGAATCATAGAACCATCTTAGAATCACAGAATGGCTTTTTTTGGAAGAGACATTTAAAGATTACTTGGTCCAACTCTCCTGAAAGGCACAGGGACTCCCATCAGGTGCTCTGAGCCCCATCCAGCCTGACCTTGGGTGTCTCCAGGGACAGGGCATCCACTTCCTTTTTGGGCAACCTGTGCCAGTGCCTCACCACCCTCATCATAAAAACTTTTTCCTTATATCCAGTCTAAATTCCCTCTCTTTTAGATTGAAACCATCTCCCCTTGTCCCTTATACCCTGCTATGTCTGTCCCCTTCCTTCTTACAGCCCCTTTAGATACTGAAAGCCACTGCCAGCTCTCCCTGGAGTCCTCTGTTCTCCAGGCTGCACAGCCCCAGCTCTCAGCCTGTCCTCCTAGAAGAGGTGTTCCATCCCTGGGATCACTTTTGTGGCTCTCCTCTGGATGAGCTCCAACAGATTCATGTCTCTCCCATGCTGAGAACTCCCCATGTGGATGCAGTACTCCAAGTGAGATCTCCCGGTTCAGATCCCATCCTTTGCCCTGCTTGCCATGCTGTTTTGGATGCAGTCCAGGATGCAGTTGGCTCTCTGGCTTGCAAGGGCACACTGCTGGCTCATATCCAGCTGCCATCTACCAGTACCCCCACATCCTTTTCAGCAGGGCTGTGTTCCATCCTTACATCCCCCAGCTTGTATATTAACAGCAGGGGTTGACACAACCCAGGTGTAAACCTTGCACTTGAACCTCACGAGCTTCTCCTGGGCCCACTGCTCTGCAGCTCCAGTAACTCTGCTGAGGAGCTTCCAATTAACAGGACAGAAGCTACAACACCGCAGGGAGATGAACCCAAGAGTTGTCCTAAAGCATATCACTTGGCCCTTGCAAAAAACAAAACAATACAAAAGTTCAGACCTAATTTAAAAAAAAATTACAAACTTGGCCAGTATCTTAATATAAATATATATAAAGAGCGTTCTCTAACGTAAGAGGTTGTGTAGAAATGTGTGTTTCCTTCTTGGGGTGTTGCTCATGTGGATGCTGTACAACCAATTACTCAGACAATGGTTATTCATCAGTAGTAATGGCCCACTGGGGTCAATCTGTGATCCAGCACTGTGCACTATCCCAGTTATCTAGGGGAAAATACAAAAGGCCTGGTAAAGTTTTTTTTTTTTTGCAGATGGTGCAATGCTGGCAGAAAGGTCAAGTATGGACAGGACAGTTATATGAGGTGATGATGATGACTTGGTAGAAGACTGTCTCTTTATTGTGTTAGTGCAGCCAAGGGCAAGTTTGCACTTGTAAAAAGGCTTACGGAATGAGACAGCATCTTGGAAGGCAGCAGCTCTGGGAAAGCTTGGGATTAACAGCAGATAACAGATTGCATGTGTACAAATTACTTTAAACAACAGGAAATCCATCAACTATGGATATCTATGCCTGCAGTGGGCCGGACAACTGCTGGGGACAAAGTGCATAGCAGAGGACATGTAAGGTGAGCTGAGGGCGATGAGTTTTGAACTGGAAGGACAGTTAAGTCCTGTGGACGAGCTGTGGGGTGGGGAATCTCACTCCAGTAGGGCCTTGGTATCTTACAGGAACAAATAGTACTGCAAACAGTCAGCTGAGCTTTCCTGGATCATCTGGGCTTGGATCTGCCTGGCTTTGCTTTTGGGGAAGCATGAATATATATTTTTTTGCTTGGAATCCTTTTCTTGTCCCTGAAAAACCAAGGGGTGTATGTGGGTGTCACAGAAAACCAGGTTAGCTAACTGATGTATTAAGGTAAAATGTGCCAGTGGGGCTGGGAATGCTACAGGAATTCCTATTCTCCCTGGAAAATGAACAGTTCTGTACAACATCTTGTGCTTTTTTATGGATTCTCTTCCTGTCTGAGAGAGGGTGGCTGCATCCCCATACTGGAGATGGTCTCTAAGCTCCTTTTCAGGTCTTGTTCACAAGTGCATCTTTTGGCCTGGCCCAAAACCATGCCAGGGACTGTTGTAGGAGCATAACAAGATAGACCATGGTGTTTCCATGCTTGGAAATGTTCACTGACACAATTTAATTTACTAGTGGAGTGGTAGCCTTTGTGTGTCAGAAGGACCTGGTGCTCTCTGGTGGGACAAATGACTGCTGTGATAAATAGTGATGGAGGTGAAGCAGAGTCAAAGGATGCAGCGAGCTGCTCCACTGGGCCATTGTGGGTGTTAGGACTTGTCTTCCATTTCATGATAGATTCATTCAGGCGCTGGAGTTACTCAGGGGTGGGGAAAAAGCAACCACCATCTATTCTCAGTATTGACACAGATGTATTTCTTAGTCACGAACCAGCAGAGGCAATTTAGCATGCATCTCATCTTGAGGAAAAATGACCACTATTGTGGGTTTTTTTGTTTCTCGGGCCAGGGCCTTGGCTGGTATGAATCAGAAGAGCATTGCCAATGCCAGGAAATTATGCTAGTTTCTACCAAATGGGATTCTGGCCAAGGTTGTGCAGTCATTCCCAGTTTGCTTGTGCTGTGGAGTAAGCTTTGAGGATGTATTTCACTCCTATAGGTGATACAAAATAAAACAAATAGAAGAGTTGACTCGTAGTCCTTTCCCTCCGGAGCCTCCACACTTGGATTTCATATGGAGACAGTGGAAAAAATGTTTCTCCTTTTGAAGTCAAACATATACAGAGTAGGATCACATTCAAAGGACTTAGCACCAATGGCTCTGGGCAGCCTGGTCTGGTGATTGGCAACCCTGCACATAGCAGGGGGGTTGAAACTAGATGATCATTGTGGTCCTTTTCAACCCAAGATATTCTGTGATTCTATGAATGCTAACCTGGAACACGCAGCTTCTCACTGCCAGCTCTGGTGGGATCCAAGCCCAGCAGCCTTGGGCTAGAAGGAGCTCTGAGCAGATCTTGTCCCACTTGGTTGTCCCCAAAGGATGGCCCTGGAGCCCTCACATCTAGAGGATGTACAGAAGCTTAGTTTCTAGTGGAAGCAATGAGATTTACTTGTGTTTCTGTAGGGTGCTGGTACTGGATTCTGTGTTACTGAAGATCAGCAAGAAATGCATCTCTCATTTTTATAGGTAGAGGCTCAGACTGTTGGAAGTATACAAATGTTACAGCAAAGAGGCCAAGAAAAATCCCTGAAATAGATGACTAGATAATTTCTGACAGTTAATGACCTACTAGAAGATCTGAAAGCTTAAGGGCCCTTCATCTAGGAACTCATTAAATGCCAAATCCATTAACTGCCATCACTGCTCTTTTACTATCTTTGGAAATGTAGAGATGCTCAGAAAAATAAGGATCTTTCTCACGTGCTGTTTAAGTTGGAGGTTGAGCTGCACATTGGTGCCTATGCACTGAGAGTGGACGTGGTCTCACTAGCATCAGGTTTGTCCTGAGGAACTTCAGTGGGATCTATTCGGACTGGATACTGATCCAAGATGCACATCTGGTCCTCGGGCACAAATGAAAACACAGCAGCAGTTTTAGTTTCAACATTCCTCCAGCTCAGAGCTCAAATTTGGAGATGCAGTTTTGGTCCACGAAAACCTCTGGTCTAATTTCAGTGAGATCTCATGAAAAAGGTATACAGCTCTAAATTTCTTCTGCAGATGAGACATGCAGACCAAATGCATTTATTGGACATTTTCCTTTGTCTCAGATAGTTAAGATTAAGGAAAGAACACTGGTATTTGGAATCGTAACAATTAGGCTCTAACTTTCCTATTCTGTATGTAATTTTCATACCATTACAAATACTCAAATTTCAGATATGCATTACCATAAGAGAAACAACACTCACAATTACTATTTCCTGAATAGAGGCATAGATGTTAAGCTGTTACTGTGTCTGAAGGGTCTCTTGCTTGCCTGCACAACAGTTCCAAAAAGACCTTGCTCTGAATCTCTTCTGCCATCACCGACACATCGGTGCAACTGTGCTTGACTTAATGATGTTGCACTGGTGTGAATCCAAATTGATCTGGGAATTAGATAGAGTTGCTTTGGTTTCATACTAACATAGGAGAATGCAAGGCCATTGGCAGGCTTTCATGGTCTAGGGCAATTTACCGCTCGCTAGATGGCTAATGGGGTGAAAGTTGGGACCCTGCTTCATTTACATTTGCAGCAGAGGAAAAGTGCTGCTTGCCAGTGGCAGGAGATCCTTTCCAGACCTACTTAAACAGGAGAATTTCACTGTTCTCTGTGGAGCTATGCCAGGGTGGAAATGGTGAATTCAGGCTCTGGGACCAGCGTTTTTTATCCATGATATACTTTCCTCAAGAGTGCCATAGTCTAGAGCGGACAACAGGCTTTGGTAATACTACCCCAGAACATCCAGTGATGGAGAAAGGCTGTAAATCCATTGCTTTCAGCACAGCTTTCTGTACCACTCAACCCAGCTGTTAACCTGCTTTGTTCAGAGATGAGCAGAGGTGAACATTGTCCTTTGGGAGGTCTCTGAGCATCCAAGGAGTGATCTGAGAGGTGATGGTGATATTCTGTGTGTAGCTCAGCGTGGCTGTGCTGGTCTTTCACTTTTCCTGTCTACAGTGAGTGAGAGGTCAGAAAGTGGCATTGCACTCAGATCTTTTTTGTGTCTTGAAAGGATTAGACTCTGTAAATGCACACCCTTTCAATGAGAAATTCAAGGTCACAGAGCAGAGCTGAGAGCAGACGGGGCTCCCAGTGAAAGGTGTTGTCTATCAGATCCAACCTCAGACAAAGGCCTTGGAGATGATTCCTCATTTCTCCTTTACAAAGTTGGTCTGACTCATCTGCACTGAGCAGACACAATTTCCCCTGTCCTGTTCCCACAGCAACAACCCTTGCCTTTGGGTTGGGTTCAAGAAGGTTTCTAGGTGCTGAAGACCTACAGCAATCCATGGCTACTGAATGCCAAATTCCTTTTTGGAGTTGGGTTTTGTTTCTGCTGGAGCTGATGTGGCTGGTGGGATGCTCTGAAGGTTCAGAGATGCTGGATTTTTTATCTTTTCCTCCCCTGGTTAGAAGATAAGAGTATCTATCTGCTCTGTCTAATGGCTGGTGAGCCATGCAGCCGAGCAGACACAATCAAATAGCTGTGGCTTTTCCTACTCAGTGCAGCTCAGGGTCACTGAAGCATCTTCAATTTATTTTCTTTCCCCACGTAGCTTCTCAGACATAAAACTAATTTTACGAGTTACAGGGAGGGGATTTGGCTATGAAAACTGTCTCTGCTTCAGGAACAGTTCTTCCCTTCTTTATTTAGTCACCTCCTCGAGAGCCAGCTCTTAGTCTGACGCAGCAGCAGATGAACCAGGTGAGGTCCCTGAGATTTCATCCATTATTCCCAGTGTGGAGATACGTGATACCAAAGTGCAGCTTGGCAGAGTGGATATGAAGTCTCCATGACCCACCTGACCTTTTGCCCAGGCTTTATTGCATGCCAGTGGGGAATGGGCAATGAGTTTCAGCAGTGGGTCAGCAGTGGGTCTCAGCAGGTAGCTTGAAGCCAGTGTGGATTTTTTCAGAAAAAAATGGAATTGTTTCACATTTTTGTTACAAGTTTACAGATCTCAAATAGAAAACTTGCCCCAAATTAAATGATGGGGAAGTGATAATTATTTATTCTTACTTCACTCCAAAAAAGAAAGGGGTTTTGTTTGACTCGAGACAGCATGTGATTTATGCTGGCTCCATCCAGAAAACCAAATAACAACCAAATTAGAAGTGCTTGTAGATTCCAGGAGAGTGATGGCTCAGAGAACGCAACAACAAAAAGGTGAAGGGACTGTAACAGTGGGAAGCAGCAGGAGCTGCTGTGCCCACACAGAGGACTGGAAACCTGCCCATCTCTGACTAACATCTCTATCATTATTTATTCCTCCCCAGACTTGGGACCTCCCCCAGGAGATGCTGTGGATAAGATCTGTAAGAACGTTTCATTGGTAACTTTGCCTTTCCACCAAACAATCCTTGCTTACCCTAAAATCCCCATGTAGCACTTGGATCAGCTTTCTTCTGGGTCCCTCATGACTCCCTGTTATAATTAATTTCTTCTTTCCTTGAAAATTCAAACTGAGGACCATCTTTCAGCCCACCGAGGAGCTGATCTTGTAGTACGTTGTGAGGTGTGTCATTGTGACGTAGGGAGGTGTTCGCAAGAGCTGTAGGACTGTGGAGGATGGATAGCACCAAACTTGGGCAAGACCCATTCAAGAGAGCAAAACTGGGAGAAAAACATCCTTAAAACAGTGCTTGGGTTTCATTTCAGAAAACACTGGTTCATTCCACAAGCCAACAGATAAAGTAGGGATGACCAGAAGTCAAGCAAACTGGTTCCCTAAGCCATGGATGGTTTAGATGTTCCCAGTGGGTATCTAGAGATGGCAAGAATGTCAATGGGCTGTCCCAGACTATGTCCTGAATGAGTGCTCAGCTGGCAGCATTGGACATCTGTACTGGCCCATCTGCAGCAATGTGCGTGGGCTGCAAACGCACCTGAGAAGCAGAATAAATCAGCTTCCACTGAGCCCCTCCTTCCTCCTGCTCCTACTTTTGGGTGGCTCCTCTGAAGCTGCCTCCAGTGTCACAGTATGGGGCAGATACCCCCTGAGGGACTTCTGGGAAGAGCTGTTTCCAAAAGTACCTAAGGGATGTAGGCGCCTAATAGCCCCGGTTTCTGCTATCTGTCAGCATTGCCTGGGCTGGAGCAGGGTGAGGAGTAGACAGGGCTGTTCCCCGTTGAGGCGTTTTGGCAATTGCCTCTCTTTAATCTGGGCATGGCCCTTGCCTCTCGAATCTCTTATCTCATGCGTATTTTATTTCCCCACATGGAGTACAGCTGGGGCAGGAGGTTTATAAGCAGGAAGGCATTTCCCCTCCCTGATCGTGGCTTGGGAAAGGGGGAGGGAGAGAGGAGGTGATTTTGTGGCTGACAGACCAAGGGGATCCGACGTGCCAAGCTACATCTGTGGTTCCTGAGAAATCAATTAGCAAGGGAGGGGAGGAGTGGTTGGCAAACCGCATGGTTGAAAGGAAAACATCACAAAAATGAAGCAGAGGGATGTTTTGAAGAAGAAGCGGCGCTGCTGGAGGATGTGAGCTAGTGGCTTTGTTTGGTAGCGGGTGCGTGTGAGACAGGCGCTCACCAAAAGGTTAATCACAACCTGGTAGGGAAGGATGGCCTGGGATCTGGGAAGCAGGCTGCTAATAAAAAAGAGACCACACTTATCCTGTGCTAAAAAACATAACCGAAGATGTATGGTATGCAGTGGCAGAGATTGGAGAAAATGCTCATTTGGCAACGCTCCACTCCATTAGAGTTAGCTGGAGCATTTGGGCTTTTTTTATTCAGGCTTACGTTCCCTCCCTACAAATCTGGAAGATTTGAACTGCACTGTTGCAGTATTTTGGAAGTGAATGTGTCCAGAGGTATTTAAACAAGTACATTTCTGATGCTGCTTGGGGTTGGAGCGGAGTACTGAAAAGACCCTTTGGGGCAATGGCCGTGAACGGTGGTCATATTGGAAGAGCTTTCCTGGTAGCAGTCCTTGCTCCTTGAACTGCAATTGTTTTAAATTGAATAAGTCTTTGAGCCTCTCAATTTCCAGCCAGAAACATCATCCGTGGTTTTCTCTCGCATCTCCGCTCTGCCCTGATATCTAACTCCTTTCTGTTTCACCAAAAGGAGGAGATAAATGGGGCAGGTGATGTTGAGGATTGCCTTTGTCATGAATTTTCTCTTCCCTCAGCCTTGCCCCATCAATACAGCTCAGCAGCCCAGCTCACCACATGGGTTTTGTGGTCTTCTGTGGCACCAAGGTGTAGTAAAAATATGTGACTAAGGGTCTGTTGGAGATGTGATGATCCTTAATATCAACAAACAACTCCAAGAGCAGCTTGAAGGGATAACAGAGCTGAGTCTTTGACTGATAGGTAAATTGCACTGCAGGGAGGTGGCATACATAAATCTTAATCTTCTTCCCCAAGCAAAAGAGAGCAGAATCCCCATTTCTTTTGTCCCTGGAACTTTTCAAGAAAAGGGTAGAAATGGCACTGAGGGACGTGGTTATTGGGCATAGTGGGAATGGCTTGATGGTTGGACTTGATGATGCTACTGGTCTTTTCCAATATAATGATTCTGTGATTCTTACACCCTTGGAAATTTCTCAGACCACAGGTTTGTTTTCTCTCCCTTTCCTCTTTATCAATGCCATTGCAACAATGGCAGGAGGACAAGAATAAGCATTACCTTCAGGAGAAAGCTCCGGGGTGCAAGGATCTTGCTTGTTGGTGCTGCACGAAGCACCTGCAGCTCTGGTGAGGAGGGAAATTTGGGATGAAGCCTCAGGCTCGTGGGGCTCTGGGATGTGCTCTGGCAGGCATTTCTGCTGCCTTGTGTTCTGCAGGGAGGTAGGAACTCCTATCTCAGGTTCAAGGATGGAATATGG